GAGACAGAGGTTGAATCCAACATCCAACAAAAGTTCTAGAAAGTTATATGATCAAGCCAACAAGCTTAAAAAAACATGTGCACATCTTTTTACAGGTAAGTGAAATTTAAAATGTAGTCTCTTTGCTCCAAGGTGAAAGTTAGAAAATTGAAATATTAAGGAAGAAATAAGAAAATAATCTGAATGGAGAATAGTAACCTGAAATACTCTTCATGACTCCTTAAAAAGTAGCTAATCCTATAAAATGAGTATTTTTGGCTCACGGTGTTTGTATATTTAATTTTGACTGTTTTTTTTAAATGATCATAAAGATCCATGACATGCAATAATTGGTCATTTTGATGAGTATGGGACTATAAGGCTGGTGATTGGGCCGAGCACACCACCTAGCACCTATATTTCTGTATCGATTGTGTCATTGTTCTCTTACCATCCATTCATGCACTAACTTACAAAGTGTTAGGAACTTGGTTTCATTATTAAAAAATGTCCTCACAGTAGAAACTTGAACACCCTAGATATTGAATACTAAGGATTTATTACTCCTGTTTTTAGGATAATAATGATATTGTGATTATGTGTTTTAAGGAGTCCTTTTAGGAATATTTACTAAATAAAATAGTTATGGAGGACCTAATATATATGTACAGATGATGTAATACGATGTCTGGGATTTGCATAAGTAATCTTCCATGAGGAGAGTGAGTAGGTCTATAGATAAGACTGGCCAGGAGCTAATAGTTGTTGAATCCGGGCCTGGGTGACGTGTATACAGGAGTTCATGAAACGGTTCTCTCTACTTTTGTGTATGTTTAAATTTTCCATAATAGAGTATTTTTAAAAGTTCCTGAAATGAAGACCTACTGCTACTCATGAAAGTAAAATGATTTAAGAATGTGGCATGTTTTATTTTATGACTATATCCCCTACTGATATAAGTGACTAGTTCTGTGAATATGGTATAATTGAGGGCTTAAAGGGTTATTGAAGTTTTTGGTCATGCAAGTTTGTGGGAACCACATGAGACTGTCCGGATGTAATATCTTTAGGATAATGATAGCTCTTTTGAGTTCATCACCAATCATTGTCAACCTGTGTCATATTTAGCATATCTGACACTGGGGAGGGTGGGGAGGGCTGAATGATATATGTCCACATTAGACTCTTGTTCTCCTGTCACTGGCTTTTCTTGTTAGAGTGAGATAAACTACTTACTATGGAGAAATGCTGTAACTGAGGTAATTCAGCCAAATGCAAAGGAGGGAGCGGTCCATCAAAAACTGGAGTTTTGTGAATGTAGAGTCATAAAAGCTTGTGCTTGTGATTTATTCATACATAGCCTTTCCTCTGTTGTTGTTCATACTGCCACTACTAATAGTGAAAATAATAATATAACAGTCTTTTTTTTTAATTATTATTATAGTGATAGCTAACAGTGGTGCAGCCTTTCCTGTGCCCTGTCTTGTTGGGCAATAAGAAAGGCCAGGTGACTTTTGCAAGGTCACACATCTAGTATATAGTTAAGCCAATCTGAAACTGGTATCACTGAATATGTGTCCAATATTCTATATACGTTACAGCACAGATGTAGTTTTCTAATGCTGAAAGGGGCCACACAGGACAGTTCTTCCATTTAACAGATAATTTGCCCATTTAACTAAGGCGCACATGATGTGGCATGTTAAGTCTACGTCTACTTCGTTACCTCCCACCCCCCGCCTTCACTTAAGTCCTTTGAATAGCTAGGGGCTTCTCTCAGAGAGTTGAATTTGGGGTTCGTGTGAGGATACAAGACACCAGGAAGGGAAATAAGGGGCTGTGGAGGAAGGAGTCGGCTGACGGAGGCTGGGTGAACAGGGCGAGGGCAGGGCAGAGGCCTAGCTGTTGCCTCGGGGGCACTCCCTTGATTTATCTAGCTTTGAGTCAGCATCCTTTGCTCTTTGGAGCACAGGCTGCCACAATCTCTGGCTGCCTCTGATTGAGGATCTGGAGGGGCCCATGTAGAGGGTTTATCAACTCCTGACTCAGCTCCACTGATAGAGTATGAGCTTGAACACACGGACTGTGCATCACCCAGCTCTGTGTGCTGAAGGCAGCCTCTGGCCTAGCCAGTGGGCAGGGCATCACTGTGATTTAATTAGAATTGCCTCTGGCGCACCAAACCATTTCTTGCCTAAGCTAATCAAGAAGTTGAAATTTTTACGATAGCTGGAGTCAGAGGCTGGAATGGAAATGTAGACACTGTGAGCTAGAACTTGGAAGTTAACGCGCTCTCACTGTAAGTTGCCAGCCTCTGCTATGGAATTATGCAGTCTTCAAGGATCGATGGAGCAGGGGGCCGGATAACTTTTACCAGCAAGCCCCGATTTTCTACCAGTGGCCTTTCACAGTGTTCTTCTAAACTTCTAAGTTTGATTCTAAGCTGCGTGGATGGCCCCACTAAGCGCTTTCTGGTCCCCATGTTTCGCTCAGCCGGACCAGGTTGTGATTGATTGTGTTGCTCCAGAGTCAGAGGTGTGTTTTGTTTTGTTTTGATGATTTTAAACTTATGGCATTTTTGTGAATTAATAAGTAGGAATAATAGAGCTGCTCTGATGAACACATAATTCAAAATCAAGAGTTATGTTTCCTGTAGCCTCATGACGCTCAGTATCCTTTCTCCCTTGTTGCACAGTAACAAGAAAATCCCATTTCCCGCAGATAAGTATTTAATTAGGACAATGTTAAAACAGCTGTCCTTGCAAACGCAAGGTACTACTCAATCAAGTGGAGATGAGAAAAGAAGCTTTATTCTGAGATTGGCCCAAAAGCAAGTTAACTTGTCAACCTAAGTTAAAATGTGAGGTTGACCCTCCCCACACCCCAATTAAAAATATTTTATTATAGAATACACTTGTGTGTACATGTCAAAAAAGTTATTTAGTAAAACAAAGTTTGAATTACATGTTTTCTTGGAATTCCTGAAGCACTCAGTTCATGGTTTAAAGACCACGGAAATGGAACCGTGAACATAAAGACCCAAGCAGGGCCCACCCTATGGTGTGAAACTGGGGGATTTTTAAAGTACCACAGGATATTTTAGCACTTTTATCAGCTTTCACAGGTTTCACGAGTGTGAAATTTGTACAGTTCAGTCCTGGGGCTTTGGAAGTGCTGAACAAATACTACTGATTATTATTAGTGATATTACTTTATACTTATTTCATTATCTTTCAGTGTTACATATTATAGAAAAAAAAGTTCTGTGTCATTATATGATTTTTGAAAAAGCTTGGGGGAAAAAATTGATCTTGCTCCAGCTGAAAGAACCAAAACTGCAGTAGGCAATTCTTGGTTTCCCAAGGGAGGTAGAGAGTGGTGGCCACAGGAAGTAGATGGAAGATGCTGGTCTGTTAGGCCAGGTACCTTGATTGACACTTGCCCGGTTAGAGGGTGTCCCTGCCGTATGAATAGCTTAATTGAGATTTAATTTACATATCCTACAATTCACCCATTTAAAATGTATAAGTCAGTGGTTTTTAGTATATTCAGAGTTGTACAGCCATCAATTTTAGAACATTTTCATCACCCCAGAAAGAAACCCCGTATCCGTTAGCAGTCATTCCCAGTTTCTGCCTCCCTCCCCATCCAGCCTTACGTCTTACCTTTTGCTGTTATTCTTGGCACTTCGAACCTCCCTGGCTGGGGAAGGAGGAGTGACCACCCTAGTGCCAGGGCTGGGAACGGATCTCCTCCAAGTTCCAGGACTTCCGGCTGAGACCTAATAAACAAAAGCCAACAGTAAACCAAAGGTATTGATGCCAAGTCAAGAAAAGTAGCATCATAGTTGTGCACCTACTGGTTAAAGAGAGGTCAAGTGCATGTGTTGGATGTTACCAACCTGGTTGGATGTTACCTTTATGTGGGGCTTAGGAAATTAGCTACAGTGAAGTTCTTTTTTCTTTTCATATACCTGACTCAATGTCAATTCAGCAAGAGGTTTTATGACCTTTTCCATTTTATGAGGGAGTATGAACGTATTTTCTGCTTTCATAAATGGCCCTTTTAACATTAGGGTTTTTCCATGATAAATATGGACTGTATACTCATCTCAGACAACTCCAGCTTAAGCTCAAAAAGGAAGTTTAGGGTTCTGTGTACAATGAATGCAAGTTATTCATTTTGTCTCTGGGGTATACAATCTCACTTCTGTATTTAAGTACTATGGCATCACGTTTTACCCAAGAGCACAAAAAAGTCTCTGCAGAGTACTATAGTAAGGATGCAAAAGTCCAAGGAATCAAGGTGAATTTTCCTTGAGTTGTCCTACGTGTCAGTTTATTCTAATGCTCTAAATAATTAATAACCAGGGAAATTGTAAGCTTCTTCAGGATTATCCAAGGTCAGTGTTAGACCTTCTTAAATGAAAGAAAGGTATATGTTACTAGGAAGAAAACTTGAAGCATAGTTGCTTACAACATTTGCTTCATGGTTCTTTTTCAGCTATCCGTAGAGAAGTATATAGACAAGGAGAGATGGGGCAGGGTGCTGAACAACTTTTACCAACAAGCCCCAGTTTTCTTTTGGGTGTTACACAGAATGCCATATACCCTCTAATAAAAGGCCTTGGCATTGTAGTTAAAGAAAAAAAAATTCCTAATTTACCTGCTGTTTGATCATTTTAGGTCCAAATTAATTTGCTATTCTGGACCAATCTGGTTTATCCCCATTTGGTCCCTAAATACATATTGCTGACAAATGATTTGTATATGTTTTACTTGGCCAGTATTTTATATTGGTGCTCCAACTTCATGTGTTTAGATGGGCTGTGTCGTGCAGTGACAAAGGCCATAGGCTGTAAAGGCAAACTTCTGAGTTTGCATCTAGGCTTCTTCAGTTATTTGGGGGGAGGCTTTGGGCTGGTTACTTTCACCACTGTGCCCATTTCTCATCTGTAACACGGGGAGGATGGCAATCCCTACCTCACAAGGTTTGTGTGAGCATGAAATGAGCTAATCCATGTAAGGTGTTCGGAAAAGTGCTTGGTCAATCTGTAGCACGTGCTATTCTGTAAGATATATATTGTTCTGAGTAGAAACTGTATATTACTTAAATATACACCCATAGAGCTGTAGGTATATTCTGAAATGTTTAAGACTGTCACAATGATATACATTTAAATGCCACCTTCAGTATTTTATTGGAGATATCCAGCACATTAGTGAATATTTTTCTTATTTATATAATACACATGTCTATGAAATGATCTTTAAAATACGGGACTTTTATATTTGTTTTAGACATGCTTTCTTTGCTCCTAAAAATATATTCTTTGAAAACATATTTTTTTTTAAGGTAGCTTTTCTGAAAAATAGATATTTTGAAAAGAAATTCATCCATTTTTGGCTTTATAACATCCACACGTAATATAAACTCACCTAAAGCGATTTAGTATTTAAATATGTGCAGACTTTCTCTTGACTTGCCCAAGTTTTAATTCAGAAATGACAGAAATGAGTATAAATTATGTCCAATAAGTTTTTAGGTAAACATTGCTCTGGAAATTGATGCAAACCTTTTTGCCTCCATCTCTATAGCTACAATCAACCTAAATTCAGCCAATGATAGCTGGTTTGGCAGCTTGAAGGACACGATTCAGCATCAGCAAGGAGAAGCAGTTTGGGTCTCTGAAGGAAAGGTATGTGGCGTAGATACTCTGCTGTGAGGTGAGAGTTCGCGTTTTGAATCTTTTCTCAAGAGGGTAGTGAATGTAGTAAAGCCATGCCCATTTGAAGTGATCTCAACATATGTGCTAATCAAGTTTGAAATTTTATAAATTCTCTGAAAAAGTAATAAAATGAAGGGGCTTTTCAAAGAAAAGCAGAATGTGATATACGCAACCCTACATTCACTTCCTTTTTACTTTTAACGTAGTAACTAGTATTGTGTTCCAAGCACACTAATCAGAGCTTACAAGATCTCTAGCTAAGCTCCACGGCTTACTAAGGACGGGGGAACTCAGAGTGGAGGTGAGAGGTGAGGTGCAGGGGCATGGAGAGCATGGGTAACAATGGAAAGAAGAAATATGAGTGGAGGTGGAATCGTTTGCTTAGAAAGAAGGTTGGCAGAGAATGTGTCCTAGGCATTTGAGTAGATGATAAGAGGGCGTTAGGAAACTCGTATAGACTTCTAAAATTGGCTAGCTTCTCATCTGTGGATGTAGTTTACGCACAGCTCTATTGCAGGGAGGATGCAGAGAGAGAGAGTTTATAATTTCCTGTGGTTTTAGGAGCCTTTGGTGCTAGTCTGCTGTAGTGCAGCTGAATCGAGGTAGCCGGTGAGACTTTAGAGGAAAGACTTTCATTGTGGAAGGGAGTCAATATCCAATGAGATTGTTGAGTCCTAGTCTTGCCCTTTGGGAATCGCGTGTATAGTCAAGGTGTCTAGTAGTCCCTGAGCCCTTGCAGCCTGCTAAGGCTCTGTGCTAGCCTCCGTGGTGACAAGTGGAATAGGACAGAGCTTCTGCCCTCAAGGATTTGAGAATCTGGTGGCTGAATGAAGAGGTGTGCAGCCCAAGACAGTGTGCGTTTATGACTAGGAGACAAGTACCGGCAGAAGAAGCTTGAGAGAAGCCAGATTCTGGAGGAAAAAGCACAACAGTCTGAGGAACGAGGAGGCATGACTCAGTAGCACTGTACAGGATGGATGGAGGTAGCAAGGTTAGATAGGGTGGAGGGGTCCTAATTCGAGTCCCTGCACAAAAAGTAACATAGTCATTTAAAGCCAAGTGATTTCAGGAAAATACAGGTGACTTCCCTTTCTAGAACATGTCACGGTTTCAGTCACTGGGCTGTGCCCTTGGGCGTTCTCTTGAGTCCCCACTCCCATGAGCCAATGGCACACACCACTGACCCTCCGAAACAAATTCCTCTAGATGGAAGGGATGGATGATGACCCCGAAGACCGCATGTCCTACTTAACCGCCATGGGCGCGGACTATCTGAGTTGCGACAGCCGCCTCATCAGTGACTTTGAAGACACCGACGGTGAAGGAGGCGCCTACACTGACAATGAGCTGGATGAGCCAGCTGAGGAGCCGCTGGTGTCTTCCATCACCCGCTCCTCGGAGCCGGTGCAGCATGAGGAGGTGAGGCGAGGCAGGGCCACAGGCTGCGACGCCACGGGCTGCGAGGCCACGGGCAGGAAAAGGAGGTTCTGGTATTTCACATGAATTCTTCCGGACAACTGTTCATTCAGGGTGCTGTGGAAGGTATTCCTAAGGGTTGGAACAGATGACTTCTAGGGAGTCTCATTCCAAGTGAATGCCTGCATGATTGCAGTAGAGTCCGTGGGAGAGCGGGGCAGGAACGAAGCGCTGGGAGACGATGAGTAATCGGCTGTCCTCACACCGATGCCCTTGGACATGAGGGTAAACTGAACGGCCTTATGAGCCGATCGTCCAAATTACAGGTGGAATGTTGTTTTTTAAATACAATATTGTTGTATTTACTTGTAACCTTTGATTAGGTCTCCTCTCTCTCTCTCTCCCTCGCTCTCTCTCTCGCTCTCTGTACTCTTAGGTGCCCTTGCCTTTTCTTCTCCATCCTACCTTTAACCTTTCTAATCTTGCCAAAGCTCCTGAGTGTTTCCCCATCAGTTTCCTTCTCTCTTGTATTTATTTCAATTTTTGAATTGAGTTCATAATCAAATATATGCCTGATCACATGTAGTATGCATCCACGGGCCAGTGAATACACAGCTTCTTGATCCTAGAAATCACATCGATAGGCCCTAAGTTAGGACCAGAGCAATTATTAGTTGCACCTCAGAGAACATAGACATACTGATCTTTCTAGGTGAGATTATCCATATAATTGGATAATTATTGCTTTGGACTTCCCTTTAGTGATTTAGCTCATTTTAGTGAATGATTTTATGCTTTATGAAACAGAAGCACTAAAAATTAGGTTGAAGGTGGGGATAAAATCCACCATGACAAAAAAATTAGTGTATACCGCTGGACAACTTATAAAGAATAAATGGACTGCTCAATGTCTACAGCTATAGATGAGCTAATGCTTAAAGTTAACAGCCATACATGACAAAAGAGATTTTAGACTTTAGATATTTTAGATATTTTTTTGTACTTTAAATGAAGAGACTACTATAATGGATGCATCTAATTAAACAAATGTATCTTAAGCATTTGCTAATGGGAATGTGACTGGTAAATGCCTTTTCAGTAAAGAAGCACTGGGTCAGTATCTCAGCTCATGCAAGTTATGAACCTCAGATTCTGAACTTAACGCAAGTCCTCAGAACTCCAGCAAAGCAGACGAGTGCTCTTTTCTCTCTGCTGGGATGTTCTTGTTGTGCATGAACCTTTATGTCTTGTAGAGCATAAGGAAACCCAGCCCAGAGCCACGAGCTCAGATGAGGAGGGCTACTAGCAGAGATCAACTTAGGGACAATAGCCCGCCCCCGGCATTC